CTGGCAAGTCACCACTCTGGAGGCCTATGAAACAGGCCGTGGAGGCACAAGTGGTGGCCAGTTTTTCTGCAGTCGTGAAGGGCAGGCAGCGTACAAGATTCATCAATGGGATCAGGCTGGCAATGGTTTTCAGGCCAATGTGCTGCAGCGCCAGAATTGGGAAGTTGTCCTTGTCTCCATCTACTTAAAGTGTGGGGAGGACTTGAATTCCACCGCCAATGCAGCAGTCATGGGGGAACTCGCAGCTTTCCTTGGTGAGTTGGCTGTCCCTTGGGTGGTAGTTGGCGATTTTCAGGTACCCCCTGCACAATGGCATGGGCATCAACTGCTCAACGTCCTAAAAGCTGAAGTGGTGCGCACTGGCCAACCCACTTTGATCAAAGTCAATTGGGACGTGCCCTGGAAGCCTCACGCGGGCCTTGTGATCACCATCGACAGTTCGGCACCAAGACTGCATTTGCCGCAAGTGACTCAGTATGCGGCAGTCCCCAAGCTGCAGCACACGACGAAGCAATGGGAGGACATCCAAGGAGCACCGAAGCCGTTTTGGCTGCGCAGAACTATGGGACCCAAAGAGCTGCAATGTGCTGAATGGTGTCACAGAGCAGAGCAGTATGCCTTGCAGAACCTCCATGAGCCTCGGTGCGGGAGAGGCTGGTACTTAGCGCTGGAGCTCAAGCCTTTGCCTTTGACCCGACACCTTGGCGAAAAGGCGATCTGGCCTACTGGGGTCAGTTCTGCTCCTTGTCCCACATTGAGCATAGTGGTATTTTGAGCCACAATGTCATGCTGCATCTGAAGGCCAAGGCGGCGGATCTTGAGATGAGGTGGCAGAATGTTCATGGGGATGCTGCTTTTCGAGAAGCTCTGGAAGACTTGATTTCTGGCGCACGCATGCCATTGAGCCTCCTCGTGCTTGGAGCGGAAGCCAATCGAGATTTTGCAACAAAGGCTGCACTGCAACAGCAATCCCATGACTATCAAGCCTGGTTGGCCCAAGCTGCTCTGAAAGGACACAGTGGGATTTATAAAAGCTTGAAAGCTCCGGACGCAGTGCACGTCAGGCCTTTTCGCAATGTTCCAGTGCAAGATCGTCAGCAGTTCAGGGAGCAGCAATGGGAAGGCATTGCGCAAGCACGTCTCTGGGAAGATCTTGACCCGCATCAGGTCATGAAAAAGCTCAGCAAACTACCCCAGAAGGCTAGTGGTCCTGATGGCATTAGCTATGCACTCCTCAAAAACCTGCCGCTGGAAGGCGTTGTGGACCTCTGCAATATGTATCGGCAGTGGGAACTGACAGGTCGTTTGCCTGACCAAGCTCGTACAACCCTGGTGGTTCTGCTCCCCAAGAAAGAGGACATTGAGCGCCCCATCAGTCTGACAAGTGTCCTCTATCGTACCTGACGCACACTCCGATGGGACAAGCTCAAACAGTGGCAGAGCATTGTTGGCCAGCGGCTGCCGTGGGAACGCAGCATGCCCGGGATGCAGGTCCTCTATGTTGCCCTGATGAGACTTCTCAAGTGTGAAGTTGGCCGTGCCACAGGACGCCATGTGCTTCTGGACTTGCAGTGCTTTTACGATTCAGTTGAGCTGGATCAGCTACTGGGCCTTTGGGAACCTCTCAACTTCCCACCTGCAATCCTCAATGCAGTGTACGAAGTGTACACGGGGCCTCGTTTGCTTCAGGCCGAACAGATCACCTCTCGCCCTGTTCACTGTCGTAAAGGCATTTTAGCAGGCTGCCCGGTGGCTCCGCTCATTGCCAAATTGGTGTTGGCTCCGGTCATTGGCCAGTTCACTGAAAATTTCCCCAGGGCCTCTGTCGATGTCTGGGTAGATGACATTTCGGTGGACTTCACAGGCAATGATGCCAATGTTGTCAGCAGGGAGGCACTGGACGGATATGAGCAGTTGAAGCAGGGCCTGGAAAGCATTGGTTTGCAGCTGTCAGCCACCAAAACTGGGTTTCTGTCGTCAACAGTAGAGTGCAAGAGGGCTTTGAGCCTCTTTCGACGAGATGAACAGCCTCAGGTCCACGACCTACTGAAGGACCTTGGCCTGGATTCCAGCGGAGGCCGGAGACGCCGCATTGGGGCACAACAGAAGCGCCTTCTCAAAGGCAAGGGACGCCAGTCAAAGCTGCTCCATTTGAAGTTGAGATCTCGCCCGGTTCGCATTCGCATCTGGAAGACATCAGTGCGTGCAGCAGCTGGCTACGGGCTCAAGGGATTGCACCACAGCGCCTCCGCACTCTGAGACATCAACTTGCCCGACATGGCGGTCTCCAGAAAGGTGGTGGTGTTGACATTGTGTTTGATCAGCATGCAAAGCTGCAAGACCCCAAGGACACCATTGTTGAAAGGCAGCTGAAAGCAATGCATCAATTGGTTCAAGCATGGCCGATAGCCCAACAAGGTGAACTCCGGGAACTCCGGACGGCATGGAGAATCTCGTGGAGAAGACTCCGGGCGGCGGCATATCCCTGGATGGTGGTTGCTGGTCCAATGGCTGCGCTTCAAGCCTATCTGATGGACATGGGCTGGGATGCTGAAGATCTGGATGATTGGATCAGAGCCCCCACTGGCATCATGCCCCCACATCAGCTGAACATCAGTCATCCATGGCCACACCTCCAAAGGCAGCTGCAGGCTGAACAACGTCTGCAAAGGGCCCGTCGCATTCAGGAGCTGGAGCACTGTTTCCATGATGAGGAGGCCTGACTGGACTGTGTACCACAGGATGATGCGCAAGCTCAAAGGGGTGGGCAGGGCAGCTATTGATGCTTGGACACAAGGATCCCTCAGAACCCACACGGCGGGAGATCGCGTGGTCTGCCCTATGTGCAACGTACAAGTGACCATGAAGCACCTCATCTGGGAATGCCAATATCATGAACAACCACTGCCGGCGTCATGGGTTCAAGACATCCAGGCCAATGAGAACACCATGCTGTGGTCGAGAGGCCTCATTGAAGTGCCTGATTACAGGCTTCCAGTTGGCATGGATTCTCTGGGTGTGCATGGACTGTTTGCACATGGTTGGCCCATTCGTGTCACTCCAGTTCAACGGCTGGCGATCGGTGTCAAACCCACGTGCAAGGAGCCGAGACTGCGGCATTTTGTGGTCTCTCTCATCGGTGGAGCTTGGCAGGATGGTTCGTGGCAACTGACCGGCAAGTGCACGTGTGTTGTGCCAGGAGAGGCCAATGAAGCCAGAGCTTGGGTCTTTGGATGCTGGCTGCTCCTCCAAGCCACCCTTGGCAGACATCAGGTCAATGTGGCTCACCGAGCAGGTTGGGCGGCAGTCACAAAAGGTGGACGAGGCACCTGTGCACCTGATCTGTGGCATAGCCTACCGGCTGAGGAGTGGAAGAGATTGAAGATCCTCCATGTCCCCAAGAAGATGCTCCAGCAGACAGGGGATGACAACAGGTATATCAGGAAGCAGCCATGTGTGCCCATCGCAGGGCAACTAGCCTTGCCCCTGATGATCTGGTTCAGCAGACGCAAGCTGATGACCTATGGCATCAAGAAGTCTATGAGGTTGCGGCCCAGCGGATCAGCCAGATCCTCACTGACTCGGAGCACTACATGCATGGCAAAGTTGAACCTGTGCCTACTCCGTACAAGGTCAAGCCAGAGAGACCGAGAGGGCGCCTCGATATCCTCCGCCAGCTAACCCAACAGGAGCATCATGAAGGGCACCATAAATGGGCTTTGAAAGGGCAAGGCATCAAGTGCCAGCAGTGTGGCCTCCACATCAAGAGCTGCTCCACCCATGACGAGATTGCCAGGAAACAGGCCACTAGCTGCACAGGGGAGTTCAGTCGCACCCTCACCCAGCTTAAGTTGGATTTGGTTGAAGCCACGGAAGCCTTAGATGACAGTCAGGTAGGGCATCGTTGGTTTAGTCGCCCGAGTTCCTTTGGCTGTTCCAGATGCTGGTTGAAGGTTTCTGGCAGGTCCAGCAAAGAGGCAGTGCAACAGCTGAGTGAAAAGCCGTGCGAGTATGGGCCGGTTGACATGCAGGCCCTTGAGTTGAAGACCAGGGCCAGCACGCAGCACCAGTTGTGGCAAAGGGGTGCATGGCTTGAATGCCAAAAGTGTCATAGAGTCACAAAGCTCATCCATGGACGTGCACAGAGTTGGCTGGCGGGTCCGTGTGAGGGTTCCAAGAAGCAGATGAAGCTTCGCTTCGGGCCGAGCTCCGATAGTTGAGGAGTGGGCGGCCGTGCTTTGGAGTTGAGAGTACAGGAGACTGCAAGGAGAAGGAGCCTTGGTCTCATGCCAATTTTGGCCAGAGAGCCATGGCATTGCAGCTTGCAGCTGGAAAAGAACCGAGCAAAAAAATAAAGAGAGAGAGAGACAGAGAGAGAGAGAGACAGAGAGAGAAAGAGAGAGAGAGAGAGAGAGAGACAGAGACAGAGAGAGACAGAGACAGAGAGAGACAGAGA